TTTTTGATAATTAAATTAATTTATCAAAAGTTATATTACTTTAAATTTTAAAAAAATTATACTTAGTTTTTAATATAGAGTTTTTATCTAGTTTTATTGCTAAAAATTTTAAACTTAAATTACTTCTTATATATAAATTTAATTTTAGAAATTATTTTATAATTTAAATTAATAAACTTATCTTTACAACTTTATTAGAAATAAAATTAAATTTATTTAATAAAAAAAATTTTTATAAGTAAATATATTCTGTAAATTTACTAGTAAATGCTATGAAAATCTAGATTTTGCGACAAGTTCTAGAACAAAAAAAAATTTTATAAAATTTAAAAAAAGTATTAAAGTTATTAGCTTTTTTTTTACAATAAGCCAAAAGGTTAAAATATAATAAAAAAATATTTAATAAAGTAGTTTATTTTAAAAATAAGTAGATAATCTTAGTTTAATGATATATTAAATTTAGTACATTGTACTAAATCTAGTACAGATAAATCCAATCCATTAATTTAAAGCTCCTATTTCTGCAAATATATTACAAAATAATAAATATGTAACTTTTATTTCTATAAAAATAATAAAATTTTTACAAAATTATAATTGTACAAATTTTGTCTAATCTAAAAGTCAAAAAGAAATTAAAAATTAGTAATAAAAATCATGATTACTTTTTTTTTAATGATCTTTAAATTCATATAATTTTGCAAACTGCAATAAAAACTGCAAAAAGAAGAGATACTTCAGATGTTTAAGTATATTATTAATTATTTATCTGATTCACCTAATCTAGCTAACACCTAAAATTTTTACAGTATTGTCTAATATGCTAAAGCCTGATGTGGTATTGATCAGAAAAGCTAAATTAGATAAATTATTAATAATATGCTTAAAACCTGAAGTATACTTTTCTCTTAATAGATTTATTAAATTAAAAGCCCAATATTTGTTGACTAGAAGACTTGAATTGATAGATAACAATATTGCATTATTCTAAAATAATGCTGAATTATTACACCAAACAAAAAACATTTAATACACATATCAACAGCTATCAAAGAACAATTTCTCATGAAGCTTGAAAAATCTAAAGATTTATTGTATTACTTTCAGAGGTTATTAAAGATTTGGTTGAAAAGTTAGCTACTAATTATTAAAATTTAAAGCAAATTCAGAATTGATAATATAATCATTTTATAAGAGTAAAAAAACAGAAATAATAACCTTAAATTTAGATAATTAAAATATTGTATGAATAATTTAATATTAATAATAAAAATTAATAAAATTATTTAAAAAAAACAAACTTTTCTTTAACAAAACTAAATTATAAAAAAATGTTAAATTCATATGTTTTACCTATACATAAAACAGTTTTCTCTAAATTTTTTTTGTTATATTCATAATGCACCTGCTTTTATAGATGCATTTAGTAAAAGCTTTTACTTTGGTGCATCTAATGATCTACTTTTTATAGCAGAGGTCTTTTTCGATTTTTAGCTGCAAAATCGTATATCGGTGGTATGTCAAATATAATCCAGATTTGCATGAGAAGAGCATCCTCCTGCATCGCAAATACCAAGTGAAATTTTTCGATTACTGTAATGATAATTTATCATTATATATAATCAGAAAATTTCACTTAGTATTTGTGATGCAGGAGAATGCTCTCTTCATGCAAATCTAGTTCACACTCGACGTACTCTTAACGTATGATTTTGCAGCTAAAAATTGAAAAAGACCTCTGCTATTTTTTATAATAAATATTTGCAAACTAAAAAAAAATTAAGTGAAAAAAACAAAAAAATTGTATAGTTTTGAAGTTATATTAGTTTATAAAAAAAAAGCTAGTTTTTAATATTTTTATATTTTCTGATTTGTGAACCTTAAACAACAATTTTGTTTTAAGGAACATAATATACTAGATAAAGGTTTTGGTAAAAATTCAAAAAATATAAATTCAGCAATTTGTATAATTTATGAAAATCATATAATAAATTTTTAGATATAATAAATCATATGTCTGTTATAGTAAATTACCATGGTAAATTATCATAATAAAAAATTTTAATTAGCTAAAATTATACATATGATTGGCCAAGATTATATATATGATTGACCAAAGATTATACATATGATTAGCCAAGATTTAATAGAAAAGTTAACTATACATACAAATTAATGTTAGCCAAAATTAAGTTTAACTCTGCAGTAATTTAGTAACTTACAGTAATTTATCTATTCTGATTAATTTAATACCTAAATTTTTTTTAAAATCACATAATATATATTAAAGTACTGATGGGACCCAATTATTTGCCTGATATTTATTTGCCTGACAATTACTTTCTCGACAACCATTTGCCTATCAATTACTTGCCCGACATCTTCATTTACCTAACAATCATTTGGCTAACACCTTTTTTAATTTATAATCACTTTCTTAACATTTTAAAGATGTAGGGCAAATGATTGTTAGGCAAATGAAGATGTCGGGCAAGTAATTGTCGGGCAAATGGTTGTCAAGAAAGTAATTGTCAGTCAAATAAATGTCAGGCAAATAATTGGAACCTAGTACTGATATTTATTAGATAATAATTAGAGTAGAGATAAAGTAAAAGCTTATCTCAATATAATACTAAATTTATTTAGTTAATAAAAATATTGCCTGAGAGGAAGGAGGTAGAGTTCTATAGTAAATGAATATTAGGTAATAAATATCACATATTAAAATAAAATCTGATCAAAATGAAACTAGGGATTTCTTATGCCTACTCTTAGAGTCTATAAAACCCACATATATTTATTTATTAATAAACCTAACTCTAAACTCTATCCCTAATGCTAAAAAGAACTCCAAAAAATGTTAACCAAAAAATTTTAAATTTTTTTTAAAAAACATAAAAATTTCATTTTGATTAGATTTGTTTTGATCTGTGACAATAAATGTCAGAGCTCTTATATATATATTATATATTAATTTATTATTTATAATTTTATGCATAGAATATCATACTTTTTTAGCTTTATAAAATGCCTAAGTGCAATTGTTGTCACCACAAAAAGCCAATCAAAGCTTCAAAAGTTTAAAAACTAAAAGTAATAATAATACTACTACAAAAACACAAAAAACATGTATCAAGTATTAAAATAAAATTTTTAACCAATATTAAAAAAAATTTTAATAAAAAAGTTATAAATATCGCAAAAAATTTAAAATCTGCTTTAGCATCAGAAGCTCTTGTAGATTATATTTTTAATGCACTTAAGAAAAATCAGAATTCAGAAGAGTTGTTTGAAATAAGTTTTACATAGTTTTAAATCTATTAATAAACACTATAGATGAGAACTTGAATCAACAAGATAATGCAAGTTCAGATAAACAAATAATTACAAATTTAGAAAATTTAAATCAAGCAGACAAACAACTTATAAATTTGGATCAACAAGTAATTACAAACCTTAATCAACAAACAAATAAAAATATTGCTCAAAATATAATCAATTTCATTTTAAAAACAGATAAATTTTCTTGGATTTATGACAAATATGTTAAATTAAAGAGTTCAACTTTATTTATATATATTGTAATTATCAAGATAAGTTAAAAAATAAAAATTACTAATTAATAATATTTTAAATTGATATGATACAAATAGCAGAATTCATTAATAAACTTGTAAAAATACAATTCATTTAAATATTGAATAATCATATAATATTGTTATAGTTCATATACATTATTATCTTCATCTACTACTAGAAAATTTAGATGTTTCAACAGAAATTCAAAAATATATTATTAATAATCATTTATTGACAATTTTACAGCAGAAATATTAAACAAGAAAAATTAAATAGATTTTTACATCTTATCTAGCACCAAGTTTATTACTTGTTTAAAAAACATTATATGAAAGAATATAGACTTGCTAATAACCAATTAGAATTTGCAGAGTATTAAATGAAAAATCAGCTAAATTTTAAGCTACTTTGTCAAGATAAACACTTGATCGTTTTTTTAACTACATTGATATTAATTTTATCAAGTCATGCTATTAAAACTATCATTGGTAATTCTATATATAGTATAAATAACTTAAAATTTGAGCTATTTGCAATTCTTAGTATTATAGATAGTGCAGAATTTCTCTTGTCATATCAAAAAGTTAAAAAAAAAGTTAAAGAAATAAAAATAAGTAATCAGAAATCAATGATTACTTTTTTTTAATAATTTGCAAATTTTACATAATTTTGCAAACTGCAATAATAATAAAATCTTTTAAATTATAATGATTATTAATTGATTAATCGAATTATTAACTAAAAGCATTTTAATAATATATGACATAGCTAATTAGTATTGAATATGAGTATCATCAAGGAAAAACATGAAATCTGGCTTTCAATTATATTTTGTATACAGTAAACTTTCTGTGTACTATCTATAGAAAATATATCATTGGATTTTCAATTATTTGTGCTCTGTAAAATCTGATCTGCACTATCGTACATTTTAGCAAACTGCATCACAAAAATAACTTTTTATATGTACATATGTACATACATATCAGTATCATTATTTTTGTTATAATTTTAATTTTTATTAATAATAAAATTAATATTTCGCAATGGGTAATTAAATTAACAAAGTTGATTAAATTCATTAATTGTTTTATCGTATCAACCACCCAACCACATAACTAATCTTTATTTTTTCTTTTTGCCTTTCCTTTTACTCTTTCTATTACCTCATCTGGTGGCTTTGGACAAAGTTCATCTTGAAACTCAATTGGACAATATTCACAAATTTTTTCCCAAAGACCTACTTGTTTCTTATCCGAAAGACCTTTTGAAGGAAGTATTTGAAAATTCCAAGCATTGAATTTATATGGATCAGCTATTTTTTTTAATAACTGAAATTCTTCTCAAGGGTCATTAACTCTTAATTTGGCACTCTTTATGCCAGGTCTTTCATGATTAAACTGAAAAAAATGATATTTTTGAATAGCAGGAGATTTTTGGTATAAGATACTAAATGTTGATGTTCAGTCACGAAAAAGCTCATTTTGTTCTTCAAAATTCACAGAAATATTATTGCTTGTGCTTTGTTTGATTATATCAACTATATAATTGATACATCAAGCTTATGATTTGGCATACATACACTTTGAATTACCAAATTCACAATTAACTGAATTTCTTGTGTGGCCTTTAATTTGAAATCAGTATTCGATTTCATGAAATTTTTTAGTATTACAAGACCAAAGAAGAAACCAAAAGAGGCATGAATTTTTATTTTGACCTCTACAATTATCTGCCTATAGCCTGATTTTTTTCACTCTACCTATCTCAGAAGCTAAAAAAAATTATATTATCAAAGCAATTTCATTTGCTCCTTTTAAGTCTTTGCCTTCAGTATAGATACAATGTCAATGTTTGTCAATACCTTCATCTATGAAACCAAACTGATGCACCTTCAATAATGATCTAAAATACTAACTTTCAGGCTGTTGGGAATTATGAGGCAATTCCATATTCTGGGCAAAGTCAAATGAAAAGACACAAAATGAAGAACAATCACAGGTTTTTGCTTTTTTAATATCATTTTCATACATATCTCTCATTGCCTAATAGTTTGATACATGTGTTGTAAATTGTGTATCAATATCTTCATTTGTATCATTAACGCTTCTTTTAATACATGTTTATATAGAATTCATTCATCACAAACATTCTTGGATGGTTTCTAATTAATATCTTACTAAGATCAGTATCATTTCTCTATATTTTTTGAAAGTTATATGACTCTTAATAAGCTTTTTAGGATATATGGAGTTGTAAATAGCAAGGAGACGTTCATAAGAATAATGAGATGAAAGAAGAATTATATCATTTTTCTTATAATTAACGGTTATTTTTCCTTCAGCTCTTTTTCAAGTATATTTTCTAACAGCTATTGCTTCACTCTGCTGCTCTCCAATCAATTTGATAAAAAGTTTTGCTTCATTAACAGTTTCATCAAACAAGATATTTTTAGATGGCTGATCAATATTTTTGTAAGGTCGTGATAATATTGATTTGTGCTCTTTGATCCAACTAACTAGATTATAATAAGCCTCAGTACCAATTCTTCAAAATGTATAAAAAAAAAGATGACAAACATCACCAAAGTAGGGTAATGAATATTTTTTAATTGATTTTTTAGAATACAAATTAGGGTTAGAGGAAGAAATAAGTAGTAATATTGAATAATGACATTGCTTTTTATTCATTTGAAGACTTTCCAACACTAAAGATTGTAGCAAATCCAATAAAACCTTCTCATTACATTTTGTCTTACATGAACAACATTGTTTGAGTTTTTTAATAAGATCATTTACAGCCGTTTCAGACTCATTATTTGTAGTGTTTTCATCACTCAATTCATTTATATCACTTGATTCATCTATCTCTTTAGAGCATATGTCTTCACCTATTTTTTCAGAGTCTGATTCAGAAAAAGTAGGATCAGATATATCAAGAATGTGCTCTAAATTTTCTGAAAATTCTATTTTATAAAAATATTATGATCAGGTATGTTTAGAGAAATTTTGATTTAAATTAATTTTAGTAATTCTATTGAAGAGCTTGATTAAATCGAATTGAAGATTAGTGCTAAGAGCAGTATTTGGTATTTTTATAGCTTTTTTGTAATAATGAAATAATTTTAGATCAAATTGATAGGTTAACAACTCAGTTGCTATTTAAGACTTAATATTATAGCTACTTCATGATTCCCAAAATACTAAAAAAATTACTGATATGTATCGATTCAGATATCAGCAATTTTTTTAGTGTTATTGAACTGTCTGAATGATTATCAATAAATTTTTTAATGATTATTTATTATTGATGCTGGTAAATAGTTACTAGACCGAACCGAATAATTATGCAGGTGAAACAGCATTAACATTGTTACTGAGCTGAATTGCAATCAAACAGAATAATATATATTACTGAAATCGATTTAGTTTTTATTTAGTATATTAGCAATAGAAATAAATGCATATTTGATGATTATTATAATTTATACTGTAATTTTTATTATAATTTTCACATTATTTAAATAAAAATAAAATTTACAAAGTAAATAAAAAAGTATTTATAAATATTGTTATATAACATTTAAAAAGTACAATAAAAACTGATTTAATTACTAATGGCAGTACAACTAACATGACATTCAAAATCATGACTCTCTTAATAACAATGGATTCACTCTTATAATTAATATTTAATAAAAGAAGATATCTATTCTAATAATGACAGACCAACTATTATAGCCATAAAATAAAACACTTTTTTCTATATATTTAGTTTGAAAGGTTGCCGAATTCTACATATTCTTGAAGTTTTTTTAAATAACAGTACTAATAGCCATCTACATAATTGAAGGTCATATTAAGAACTGTCAGCAAGCTTTTAATAAACTATAATTTCTTGATTTTACTTATAGTATACTAATATGACAAAATTAACACATACTTTTAAACCAGAGTTCTGAGCACTTGCTAGATTATCTGTTCGCAATAAGAATGAAAAAAGTTGCAAAATTAATTAAACCAACTCGAATGATGCATTTAACTATTCTAAAAGAAGACAAAAACCTTAGTTAATGTATACATGAGCTGGAACGACCAAAAAAAAAACATCTACAAAATATCCCAAATCAACGATAACATGCCCAACAACACCACCAAATAAGTAATTCTCAATCTGAATAATGCTTTAAAAAGTTACCTAAAAAAAATAAAATACAATAGTTAAACATCATGTGGAAATCCAAAAACCAGCATCATTAAGCCATACCACCAACAAACACATAATAATAAACACAGTAAAGTTGATGAAGCACCAACAAAGTGCTACCTTTAATTACTAACTGAAAAAAAAAGAAAAAAATTAGTTTACAAGTGTAAAATAGATCAGTAACAACTCACAAACAGAAATAACAAAATACACCACTGGAGAAACCACTAGCAAAATCCCGAAGTTTCTAACGTTACCTGAAAGATTGTTAATCATATATATAGGCAAAAAAAGAACAACTAATGCAAAATCCATATTAACAATGACAAACCGCACTACAGACAAAGCTCTGAAATGAAAGTAATCTAAAAAAAAAGTTGAGCACTAAGCATAAAAAGAAAAAAAATATTGATAATAGTTTATGTATCTGGACAATCTTAAATTTCAATCAGATTTTACAAGGTACAAATAATTGAAATTCTGAGATAGATTTTTCGTAGATGGTACACAAAAAGTTTACTGTATACAAAATATAATTGAAAACCAGATTTCGTGTTTTCCCTTGACGGCACTCATATATAAAAATGAAAAGCTTTGTGCAATATTTATCAACTAATTGCTTCAATACTTTTAAGCAGCTTTATCTTTTTATTAGCACTTAAATGGATTTTTTGTATTTACTTGAGTACTAGTTAAAAATATTGACCCAAATAAAAATATTAATTAATACAATTTTATCAATTTAAATTTTGGATTTGGGCCTGAGTTTTATTTTATAATTAACATTTGGATTATACAATGTTTAAATATAAATTAAATTGAATTAAACTATATTAATAACAATAGATCTCTTGTTTAAAATTATTATAGCTGGCAAAACTCAGACAATCCTAAAACTAAAAAATAACTAACTATTTTGCTAATAGATTATATACATTATGGGAATATATACTACAGTCAACACTAGATATAACGAACCTTTTATAATGAACTCTGGATATAACGAACTGAAATTTCATAAAGTTCAGTATAAAAAGTGGCATAGGTTCTTAAGAAACTATAGTAATTTCCCTATAACAAACTTTTTTTCTTCCAGAATCTTTGTTCGTTATAGAAGTTGACTATATTTGTTTAAATAAGATATTAGTTGGAGATTTGGCTGTGAACAAACCCAATCTGGGATTCTTTTAACATTCTTGAAGTTCATAATCTCAAGCAGGTACGTGGGTTTTTGTTTAAAAAGCTTAAAGATTCTGTTGCATTGCAAATACTATGTAAAATAGAATGAAAGGCTATTTTTGAGGGCGTGGCTTTCTCAGCTTTATTTTTTTCTCAGTTAAAGCTACAAATCAATGAAGTATTTGTATAATTAAGCAGTTATATCTAGTCATGTGAGTGCGGTTTCCTTTTAAGAAACTCCTGAAAATGGTGATTGAAAAAAGCCTATCGTTGCAATTTACTATTAAAAATAGGCATATCATATGGATGTCGATCACTCAAATTTCATATTAAAAATTTTGCCCCATTGATCTGCGTGCGCCTGATAAACTATAATTTCTTGATTTTACTTATAGTATACTAATATGACAAAATTAACACATACTTTTAAACCAGAGTTCT